TTTAAGGGACTTCTGTGTTGACCTGAATCTTCTGAGGGATGCATGCAGCAGTTGTTTTAAGCTCCTCCTGTTTGTTTGTTTGTTTTTTAATGATGTGTCTTTGTTGTTGTCGTGCAGCCAAGGTGCCGTTCCCTCTGACTCTGAGGTTCAAGCCGATGTTGCAGAGAGGGATAGACCTGCTGTCGCTGGACGCCTCCTGGTAAAAATGAAACCCCCACCGCTCCTCACCAGACGATGAACACAACACAGACGGCAGTACAAACATTTACCAACAAGTTTTCTCAAAATAATGACTCTCCATCTTTAATCCACAGCGTGTTTGTGTTATGAACTGAAGCCAAAATATTTCTTTGACATCAACAAGAAAACCAAACGACTATCCTGCCGTTGATAGGTTTATTTTCTACAGAGACCCAAAATGTAAATATGAAATGATCATAAAAACACATGCAGACATAATTTATGTAATTTTATGATCTAATTTAGATTTTTCTGCCAGATATTACGTTTCATTTATTTTTTTATAGAAGTTTTGCTGAAGTTCAACATTCGCTGCCAGTCTGTTTTTGACAGAAGCCGCGTCAAGCAGCACAGAGCAGATGAACCGGGCAGGAACGGCATAGAGATTTTCAAAATAAAACACCCTTTGCAGGCTCCCGATCGTACATCTACAATAAACACAGTTAAAACAGACAAAAGAAACCCTTTAACTACGTAGTCTGCTTAACCACGGTAGAAGCACAAAACTCAAGGACAACTGAACAAATAAGCAAAATCAGGCAGGTGAAACGCTTTTATTCTGAAATGCTCCATGTGGATATGTAACGTTAGCCTGCAGAGAGCAGAGCGGGCTCTCAGAGAGCTGTTATCCGTAGTTAAAGCACACAAAATGAGCGTGTAGGCTAAACGCTCTGCTGCTGAAACACTTCAGTGTTAATTGAACCACATTTTCCTCTAGTTTCGTTTGTTGTTGTAAAATGTACACGCCCCGTGCCCGCTCTGATTGGTGAGTAGGTAGTAGTATGAATTTGTAACTGCATGACTGTTTAAAACTGGTCAGATGTGCAAATGAACCTACATTTTAATCGCCGTCTTCACGATTAGCTAATCGCATTCTTTCAAATCGCAATTTCAATTTTAAAACGATTAATCGTTCAGCCCCATAGAGATATAGATATATAGAGATACATAGAGATAGAGAGAGAGATATCATGAAAGTGTAATTGCCTGTTCCACTGAACTGTGTATATACATACAGACAACAGCAAAGATGGGGAATAGGCTACTATCAAATGGTTTAATTTCAACCAGTATGAATATTACTTTCAAAAAAGTAAGCGAGAGAGAGACTCTGTCAGAAACAATGAAACCCAAAGGATACCGTAGTTAGTTCAACTTCTTATTTTTAAATTTTTATGAAAAACTGTCTTTTTTACCATGCCGGTAAATCTGAATGAATTATACTTTGCTGCTCATTGTTTTTCTCAAATGATCTGAACGATTGAATTGTGGAGAACGTTTAAACATTTATATCGGTAAGCAGGATCTAAGCAGCTTAGAAGTAGCTCACGCGGGCTTCAGGAGGTGTTAAACATCCAGACAACTTCCATAAAAAAAACTGACCAGGCTTCTAATTGAGACCTGCATTTATTTGTCAAAACCAGGCCAGGAAAAGGACCAGGACTCTGCTTTTCATTGAAGATTTGCAATTCGATTTGACAAACGCAAAACTGGCCCGTTTGTCTTGACTGACAAACAAAAACGTTGTGATAAGTGTCGCTACAGAATTAGTCATTTGGGAAAAATGGTGTAAAATTATATAGTTTTATTTTTAAAAAGAACAGTTTTGCTACAATTAAATAAAAATGACATAATTTCATAACGGTGGAGCTGAGTTTAAGTTACTGGATTGTTTCACACGGTCGTGCCTTCATGTTAGTTTTATTTATTTAACCTCGGTCACTTTGCGTCTCCACAACCTGCAGGGTGAGTTCGGCGTCCTGGTACTTCCTGAATGTGTTCGGGCTGAGGAGCATGTACAGCCTCATCCTGGGACAGGACAACGGTGAGTCCCTTTCTCATCTGTTTTTGTTTGTCAGTTTTGGATGTGCAGAGAAATCAGAATCGCATAGATTTGATTTTAATTCATTCATTCTGCAGATGCTTCAATAAATCGGATGTAGAAATGTTCGCGGCTGAAAGCTTTTTGCTGGTCGCACACAGTTTACAATAGACGACAATGTTCTTTGCATCTGAGACTGTGACACAGAAATGGCAGCAGCTACGGTGGAGAGAACTTCTTCCTTTAGTGTTGACATGAACAACAGAAGGTCCGCTGAGCTGCAGCACAGTCGTGGATTTACGTCAAGGATGGGTCGTTCAGTAACGAGTAACGCAGCGTTACTTGCCTTAGTAACTAGTAATGATATTACCGTTTTAGAAAAGTAATGTGTGTGTGTGTGTTCATGTGTGTAGACGGTTATAAAGACGGTCCGGATGTGAAAGCTGCTCTGATTCAATTCACTGATCGAAGTTGGTTGTTACCTTCCAGCTGCTGATCAGTCCCGGGTCATGCAGGACCAGATGACGGGTGCCGCTATGGCGATGCCGCCGGACCCCAACAAGGCTTTTAAGGTGAGACATTAACGCAATCGATTTAAGATAGATCAGTTTTGATATTTGAGCATTTTAAATTGCGATTCTTTTCAGAAACACATAACACAAAGATTATCCCTGACATTTGTTATGTTTGGTTACGAGCCAAGATAAGTTTCCACAAAATACACAGCTGGTTCCAAACACTGGTGCCCTCTGGTTGGAAAACTCTGCACCCACAACATAATTGAAGGATCCGTCTGTTTCTTTTTTTATCAGCTGTTACAAACACAGATAGCGATTTATCCGCAGTCAGCTCACATCAGTGTATCAGAAAACACAATGAATGGTGTCATTCTTGTTGTTGTTTTTGTGTGTTGTGGTCGAGGGCAGCTAAACACAGAGATCCTTTTCAGATCATTACATTAGAAAGTTAAGATGAGTGTTAAATCGTGCACACTGGACATCTTTTCCAGTGGTGTTTAAAGACCTTACATAACAAATGAACAGAACAGTAAACAAATAATAAAAAAGCACCAAATGTTGACAGTTTTCTTTTTGTTGTTGATTTAGGAATTAAATTAATAGAAGGTGTCGTAGATGTCTGCGTGTTGTTTATATGCTCTGATAGTGATTTGTTGATTCCATAATCTGACTCAAAAGCACATGAACGCACCGTGAGGCATTGGTTGCAATTCGCAACCCTCACCACTAGATGGCAGTAAAACTTAACACACCGAACCTTTTAAAGGAAACGCATTATGTTCACATATGACCGCATAACTTCTGTCAGATCCTGAACGCCCCACAAAGTAAAATCTAAAATGGAGCTCGACTTGAAACTCGAGCCTGCGTCTGTGCAGATACGTCGACTTGTTCCCTGTTTTGTTTTCTTGCTTCAGAGCGAGTGGGAGGCGCTGGAGATCGTAGAACACAAGTGGGCGTTGGAGAACGTGGAGGAGGAGCTGATGTCCAGAGACCTCAACTTTGGAACCTTCTTCAGCCAGGACATCAAGTCCACCATGTTCTAGAACAACGGGGGACCCGCGAGCTCTGGAACGTCCGTGAAAGGTTCCAGAACTCGGGTTCTGTGATGATCCTAAAGGTTCTGGAACACAGTATTCACAAAGTCTAGTCTGAATCGGGCAGTTTCTGCTTTTCCCGAGCCTCCGAAATCAAAAAGTGTGCGTAGTGCCTTCAAAGATATATTGTCCATCATGCTGTGGACTTCACAGAACTAAAGATCAAACGGTGCAATAATTCAGAGTCTTGGTCACTTCTGATTGTTAATAATAATTTATGAAACGGCAAGTTTGCGTTGAAAATTTGACCACAAATGTCTTCAATAAGTCCACCTAGAAGCTTTTTCCAGAGCTTTCCAACTTATCGCCTGGTTCATTAACAAATGAAGTTGTCATTTATGCCGTTTTTCCATTACCAGCTCGACTCGCCTCGACTCGTTTTCCATTGCAGATAGTACCTCTCTCAATGTAGCTGGTCGTCATAGCGACGCCACACACAGCTGTCTCTTGATTTAAGTTAAAACCTTCCTCAGAATGTAAAGACAGATAAGCGGTATGAAAACCTTCCAGCTGTGTTTTCCTCTGTCGTCGTTGCTGCAGCGGTCTGTGTGGCGGCGGGAGCAGAGGGCTCTGTGAGCGGGCGCAACTTTTCAGCAATGGAAAAATCAAGAAAAGGCAAGTCAAGCTGGTACCGTGCGGTGGAAAAAGGGCTTAAGAGAGTTGGGTTTTTTATTTATAGTGAGCGTCGCTTGAATTGACTTTTTTTGGTGGAACAATTTTCAAACGCTTGCCGTTTTTGTGTATTCAGTGTTCCAGAAGACAGATTCTCAAAACTAGTTTTTAAATAGTCTTCGCTTGAGGAGCAGACGAGTTCTGCGGTGGTTCCCGGGTGTTCCAGAGCACCGGGGAGGTTTTCTGTAAACCTGCAGATTCTGAGCCAGGCCCCCGGCGTCCTCAACGAATCCTCTCAGGAAGATGTTTCATTGCGGGCGCGATGCGGAGATCAGGAGGCAGCAGTTTAAAGGCGCCCGGGACGTTTAGGGAAGACGGGTCAGTCAAAAAGAGCTTTTTAAAAACGACTGCAGGCGTTCTTGTCTTGGTCCTGCAGGACAGACACTCTGCATGTACTTTTCTACACTGTGGTTATCCAGAGCGGCTTGAAGTGAGTGCAACTGTTTAATAAAAGGTGCCATCACAACTAACTGGACTTCTCTCGTTTGTATTGTGCAGTACTTGGACGCCCAGCTTTGCAGTCTCTCCGTGCGGTTTTCCCTAAAACCCGGTGTCGGCCAATCAAACGCGTGCAACGTGTTTGTACCGCTACCCTCGCAATCGGCACGACAGAAGCAACTGGGTGTGACAAAATGTAAGAAGTGGCTCTTGTCTCGTGGTGATAATAATCCTTTTATTAATATCAAAAGATTGAAAGTACAATAAAATATTTTCATCTGATATTTGACAGGGAAGACCAAAGAAAGAAAATCGCCCCAAGCCTTCCCTCCTGCTCCACGAGGAACGGTGGTGATAATAATACATTTCTTACAATACAAAAATACTGTACACAGAGTCGGTTTAAAAATCAGTAAGAGCTCGCTCTGACCTCAAAGAGAAAACTTCGCCTGCGTCCATCTCTCCGAAGAAAATAAGAGAAATTAAACGGCGTTACTTGTCATAAAATTATTTATCTATACATATGAAAAATAAGCATCTCAATGTCCTGCACCCGTCGATCATCAACCATTCAAGAAACAAAAAAATAATAATCCTGTAGTCACGTGACAGCGGAAATTATTCCATTAAAAAAAATAAATAGAACAACAACCAAAATATACAAAGATTAATTTCTCGGCTACATACTCCTGATTACCCATAATCCCCTGCTCCTCGGTCCACTTTAAAGCGTTACTGAACTATAACTAGTCCGCTTTCATTTAAAAACATGAAACAGTTCGTTATCTTGTCTGCAGAAAGCTCAAGTTCATTTATAACAAGCGAACTGCAGCTGGATTTTGAATTTGCACATTCAAAGTGACTCGGCCAAATGATGAGAAAGTAGCCGGGTTTAATGTTAAATTAACACGTGGACCCTGGTGCGCCTGAACAATTATCGTTAATAAACTTTTACAGTGGTTAACGGGATTAAAAATTAGTTAAATTAGATTCATAAAGCTCAGGAGTTTATAAAAAAAAATACTAAACACACTATTCTGTCTTTAAATGATGAATTAATAATTTATTATTATTATTATTTAAGGCCTTTTTACAAGATGTGCTGCCTACAAATGAAATCCAACCCACAGAGCAGCAACCAGAGCTCTGATTGGCCGGATTACTGCCGACACAACAGATATGTCGGACCTAAACTTCATTTTAAGTGCTGCTGTGTCTTAACGAGTGCTGTATTTAAATTAAGTTAATCAATGAAGGGAAACTGTAAGTGTTAAAGCAAATCAATGGTGGAGAAAAGTCTAATTTAAGTCGTTCAAAATTTAGTTTTGGCATTAATTTATCATTTAAAGACAGAATAATGATATAAAATGATTAACTGGCAGGTTGAGTTTATTTACATGTAATAAATCAACAAACAGGTTTTTTTAAATGAATTATTGATTATAGTTAAACGCTGTAAAAGTCTGGGAATTGTTCTGTTGGCACACTCCAGGCTTCATAATCAAACACTGAGCAGATGTTTCCTCTCTGCAGCAGCTCAAAGATCAAATCAGCGGTCTAAAATCTGAGCGCCTGCTGCATCAAACTACCCGAGTTTTCTACCAAACAGAGGAACTGATGTTTCATCCCAAAACTCAACAGATGAGCAAATAAGAGCTGAGGAGATTAAAGACGTAGCCTGCAGATGTGCTTTTGTTGTTTTTAGTAGCTGTGGTGGAAAATAAATCAGAAAGTTTAGGTGTTGTTGAAAGAAAATCCCCAAAAATAAAACTAAATGACAGAAGGAGAAAAGGCCCGTTGTTCTGATGAAGACGACAAATTACCGTGAAGTAGAATTAAACTCAATCTTGAGGGTTCGTTTAGTCTGTTTCCATAGTGGCGTAGGAGGCGGCGCCCTGCTCTGTGTCGTCGTCGTCCTCTTTGCAGGAAGTGATGTCGTTGGCGGGGCTTGTGTTGGGGGCGGGCAGGGTGGGTTTTCTGATCTTATCTTGTCGATGGTAGAACAAGACGTAGGCAGCGTTGGTCTGCGGGGCAGAAGACAAAGAATTACTTTAATGACTCAAGATCTCGAGAAAACAAATTAAATTAGCTATCACATAAATAAAATGTATCAATGTGTGGCGTCTTAAGGCTTCCGTAGGACCAAAGGAACTTTACCCCGGAACCTTTGGAGGAACTCACTGGGTTCAATTCAGTTATAGGCTTTTTATTTTACCCCCCAATCACAATCAACAGTCAGAGAGCCGCACACGTCTCGCAGATGTCCGCCTGAGATCGTACGGCAGCATTAAATGTGTTGCTCGGAACCAGCAGCCAGCGTGCAGCGGCGTGTTTACAGCGAACAGCTGATGGAGTTACGCTAAATACTGGGTCCGGAGTTGCTGTTTTAAGTTTCAGAAAGTTTCTACGCAGAGCTGAAGTCAAAACAAGGAGAACAGCTGATTACAGCAGGTAATAAAGCTCGATAAACAAACGTTCCTGCGACGCTCAGGCGACACAGACGTGATGCTGCAGCTGATCTGCAGCATCACGTCGGCTGGAAATGTTTTAATAACTTTCCAAACTGTCGCGAATTTATTATTTGTGTTGCTTTCTCTGTGCTGGAGTTGCTTTAAGAACTTGATGGTTTTATCCAGTTTGTAACGAACCTCTCTTCATTATACTCCCACACAAAAGCAGGTCACGCACAGCCTGGAGTTCCAGTCAAATCTGATGTTCATTTATAAATATTACAAATAATGATGCCTGTGCATCGCTTTGTACGGCGCGCAGCCTACGTCAGCCGGTTTATTTGCCTAACCTCCGCAGGTCTTTAGACCGCGGCTGAAGGAACCTTTTAGTTCCTTGAAAAGAGATCTGAGGACTTCAAAGTCCCGGGTACTTTTGGTGGAAACACGGCTTTAGTGTTTCTTAATTAAAACAGATACTGTGCGTAAGAGATGGGAACAAGATGCACATTCCTGTCTCTTGTGCAGAGGTGGAAGGAGCACTAAAATATTTTACTTAAGTACAAGTTAGTTATAAAAATATAATCATGTAAAAATAAAAAATATAAAAAAGTTAACCTCCTAAAATAACTTCTTTATAGTTATTATATTTATTTAATTAAATTGCAGTCTTTTGTGATTTGCTGAGGGCACAAAGCCACATTTTAGTTGGTCTGACAGATACTTGGTGCAACACAATGTCAGAGACCTTTTAAGTTATTATGAGAAGTTTTGTTTTTGCTTCAGTTGTATGTAGCGAAGTACAAAACATACTTCAGCAAAAGTAAAATTACAGATTATAAAAACAAGTACACAAAAAAAACCACTCGACTACAGTAACGCGAGTTCCCATTCTGTTAATCTGACGCCTTCGCAGTGTTACAGAAATGTTTCAGAGCTTTAAGACATGAGTGTCATACTGACCACAATCTGGTCCTCTTGGGCGTAGGTCACCTTGCTGTCGTCAAAGTAATACCACTGACCGTTATCCTTGTTGCACGCGTAGCTGGTGTCTGAAAAACACACAGTAATGAAAGTTAAAGTCTAAACGAGTCATGTGACTGATGAAACCTTGAACATGACCTCTTTGGATCAGCGTTAGATCAGCTGACGAGGCTGAAAAACGAAACCTAAAAAGGGACCTACAATGTCCGTCTCTGAGTCCTCCGTAGTGATTTGACACAGCGATGAGGTCATAACGGCTCGGAGGCTCCCCATTGGACAGACTTTTCTTTAGGAGGCAGCCGGAGAAGTCCAGGTCTCTGCAACAGAACCACCACACATACAATTTAGTGTCTCACACAGAGACTGATTATAAAACATGAAGGACATGACGGCTCCCTGGTGGCTGGCTGCAGGTACAAAATACATTTTACTAAAGATGGTTTCTGTCATTTTAGGCAGTTCAAGTTTTCATTTTTCTTAAAAATTTGGTTGAAATTTGTTGTTTGATTCTATGAAAAGGGTGTTTCGCGGCATGATTGACAGCCGAGCCCTGCTCACAATAGAGAGCCTAAGCCCCTCCCCTTCTGCTGCACCACAATAGGACCTTATTTAAGGGAAAAAAAAAAATAATAATTGTACAGTAGTCAACAGCGAGAGACAAGTAATGTTTTGATCCTGTTTGAATTGTGCCCTGAATTACACACGTTTTTCAATTTAAAATATATATTTGAAAGTCAATAAAGCCAGTTTATCATAAAACTGTTTAAGTATAATATACATAATTACAAAGACCACAAACCCAAAAGTCATGTATGTGACGTCAGTGACTGAAGCTAAAGTCAAAGAGCTTCCATGTTTAGATGATGTGATGAAAGTCACGGCCAGTTTATTTATATGGTACCTATTTAAAGTGTTTACAAACCCAAAGATACAAAGACGCTATAAAAAATACCAAATAAAGTACATAATTAACAGGCAATAGATAATAAAAATCAAGATTAAGCTAATCTGTCTGTCAAAGTGCTAAACAAAGAAAATACAAAAATACTTAAGAAAAATAGATAAATTAAAATACTACTAAATACTCATAGTGATGAATTCAGGATAAATCACTGAAACGAGCTGACAAGCAGGTTAGCGACTTTATCCTGTCTTGTTTTAAAAGCCTCGCATCTTTAAATGATTTATCTTTCTCTCTTTACTTTAAAATGCTTCCACACTGCCGACACGTCAACATAATTGTTCGGTAAAACGTATTCGGTCTTCTGACTTATTAGGCCGAACACCGAAAGTGCTTTTTTTTCTGCTATTTTTTATTTCGATTAATTTCGGTGGCCGAACATTCGGTGCTTCCCTAATGTTTCACTTTTGTGTAGTGGGAGGAAGTGCATCTTTATATGCAGGCCACAATCTGATGCTTGTGCGAGCGAGTGTGTACCGGAGGGGGAAGTCCACGATGCTGTCGAGTTTCTCTCTGGTGAACTTGGTGTAGGAGAACCTCTTGAGGTGGATGATGAGAACCTCCGGCAGAGACCAGAGGTCCAGCTTCTTAGTGGCCAGCTGGTGCTTTTTACACACCGGACAGTACCTGAAAACACACACATCATCATCATCATCATCATCATCGTACACTTCTGTCCACTGTTATTCACCAGGAGAGAGTGTGAGTGAGTGTGTGCGAGTGTTACCATGGGTTCTCCTCCTCCAGTGTTTCCACGGTGGTGAACAGCTCGATGCACTCCTGCAGCTGAACCGTGGTCTGCTGCTGAGGAACCTCCATGCTGGCATGTTTCATGTACTTCTACAGCAGGAGGAGGAGGAAGACGCGACATCTTTAGATTTCATTACAACAGAACCATCAAAAAAAAACAACCATACTAACCTGCTAATGGATTAAAAATCAATCAATTTCTTTATTTGTCCCCGTAGGGAGGCATTACATCACACGCCGCAGAGAGAAACATACTGGTAGACACACACTAATACACGTAACACATCATTTCCCACGCCCTGCACCTTACTACCGATGGAAATTAGGCAGACCAAGCTGAGAATCCTGCCTCTATGTGCCTTAACTGTTTAAAAACTAAATTGCTTGAGGCACAAATGCAGATTTAGATCTATTTTCGCTAAACAGAGGGAGGCAAGATCATCGCCCAGATGGCAGCAGTTTGTATGAAGGGGCGAGACGGTCCCTCGTCTCCCTCAATGGTTTTTGCCTTGTTCGTCATTCTTTCCCTATAGATACTTGATCCCTAATAGTTTACTGGCCATACTTTTTCTGTGCCTCGGTAGCATAATCTGGCCATATATATATATATATATATACAGTGAGGAAAATAAGTATTTGAACACCCTGCTATTTCTCCCACTGAGAAATCATGGAGGGGTCTGAAATTGTCATCGTAGGTGCATGTCCACTGTGAGAGACATAATCTATTGGAGAATCTTTGGAGGGAGCTCAAACTCTCAGCGACAGCCCAGAAACCTGACTGATCTAGAGAAGATCTGTGTGGAGGAGTGGGCCAAAATCCCTCCTGCAGTGTGTGCAAACCTGGTGAAAAACTACAGGAAACGTTTGACCTCTGTAACTGCAAACAAAGGCTACTGTACCAAATATTAACATTGATTTTCTCAGGTGTTCAAATACTTATTTGCAGCTGTTTCATACAAATAAATAGTTAAAAAATCATACATTGTGATTTCTGGATTTGTTTTTTCTTTTTTGTCTCTCACAGTGGACATGCACCTACGATGACAATTTCAGACCCTCCATGATTTCTAAGTGGGAGAACTTGCAAAATAGCAGCGTGTTCAAATACTTATTTTCCTCACCCATTTCCTCATATATATATATATATACACACACACACACACAGTCGGTACATGTTCACACTGACCTCGGCCTCATTTTCATTGTAGAATCTCTTCTTCATTTCAGGGTCCCAGTCGATGGCCACGTAAGGCTGAGCTGCAGAGAGACAGAGAGGCAGTACTGTAGTTTGTACAAATTCAATGAAACGGAAACTTTCTCTCTAATACCATATTATACCGTCTGCTGACTCATTTGACCAGCAGCTTCTCAGCGCTCCGGCTCGTTGCATCTAATCTGCAGGTAACATAAATACACTGAACAAAATTATAAAAGCAAAACTTTTGTTTTTGCCCCCATTCATCATGAGCTGAACTCAAAGATCTGAGACTTTGTCTTTGTACACAAAAGGCCTGTTTCTCTCAAATATTATTCACAAATCTGTCTAAATCTGTGTCAGTGAGCACTTCTCCTTTGTCGAGATAATCCATCTGCATATCAAGGTGCTGATCAGACAGCATGGGGATTGAACAGGTGGGCCTTAGGCTTATAATTTTGTTCAGTGTAGTTTCTCAGTTGTTTAAAATATCAACATTGTCGACTTTCAGCGAGTGAACCACAACCAGAGCATTATAATGCATCATGGAATCTGTTTTGTGGATTGTTTCACCTTGAGGACAATAAAGTTAAAGTTGAATAAATGGAGCAAAGGGAAAATGGTGGAATTAGAAATGTAAGGCTGGCCTCTGACTGACTGAATGTTAGAACAGTTCCTGCATTAAAGGGGGGACGTGGTTATAAAGATGAGGGTCTTACAGCTGAAGGACACGGCGCTCCCTCCCTCTCCCGTCCCTCTCTCAGTCGTCCCGTTGGAGTTGACCGCCTGGATGGTGAACAGACTCTTCCTCCTCTTTCGACGTGCCCTCCTCTTCGCCGGCTGCTCATTGGCTGGCAGGCTCGGGGAACACGCCTCCTCCTGCTTGTCTTCTTCTTTTTCTTCTTCTGTGGTCTTGCAGTGCTGCTGCGGTCGCTCTGCTGGTGGTTGTGCGCCGGTGTCGGTGGTCCCGCCGGTGTCTTTACGGGGATTATCGGTGCTGTTGGAGGTTTCAGCGTTGGTGCTGCAGAGGGACTCGGTCTGGTTCTGGGACCCGTTCTCGGTCTCCGGGTCGCCGTGGTCCAGTGTCAGATGTGCGTGGTTGAGATTGGGGTGGGGCTCTGCTACAGCGTTGCCCCCTGATTGGCTGTCTGCAGATGTATCGCCGCAGCAGGGTTCTGTCTGAGAAGGCCCGGCTTTCTCACCATCCTCCTGCTCCTCATCTGAGAAAACAACACAGAGCCAATCAGAGCGCAGCTAAGCTTCAGTTAATGAATAAAGAATTGTAATAAAGTGGCATCTTTAAAAGTCTTGTGTTTTGTTTAAAATTTGATTCTTACAAATGTTTCACCGCTGCAACAGTATTTTCAGTGTCGTATAAGGGGGGAAATCCACTGACAGATGCATCACGACTCGGCAGTGGACGATTCTGAATCGATTCAGAAATGTGCAAAATCGATTTTTGAAACGTAAAATGATGACGTGATGTTGACGGAACGCAAGAGGTGGAACTCAGAAGTGCAATGTCATCACATTTCCATGTTTCCCCCATTTGTTTTATAAGTAAAAGATTTTGGAAGCACATTCATTAACAAGACGGTAGCTCTCCTGATGGATCATGCGTAGGTCATGAATAGATTTCTATAGACTGAACGAGTTACTTTCCTGATCAGAGAGGCTGCTGTCAGCTCATCCTGACCGATCCTGTCGGAGTGTCGGGAGATTCAAATAATCAGTGACGTCATGCTGCTGTACCTCGTGCGTAAATGTGCAAAGGGTCGTTCTTAATGGGGACACGATTCGTCCTATTTCACCCATCCGAGACAAAGACCCACATCACTAGAACAGAATCAGAATAATGTGTCCATTAAGTATCAGTGAAAGTAACGCAAAAATAGTGGGAAGCATTACAATTGACCCTTAGTTACTAAGTCCGACAAACTGTCGGCGCTGCCACTGTCTATTACTGCACTGAGAAATGTTGTCAAATTTGTTTAAAAAAAACGATCTCAGAAAGAAGCAGACGGTTTTGCAGTTACATTATAATTGAAGGTTGTATTCAGGCTGTTAAACTGACTCAGACTGAAGTGAAAAAAATGAAAGATAGAAGCTAAAGCCTGCCGATCACACAGTACAAGTGACGATATTAAGGATCAGCAGTGTTCCTGTACAGCTGGTCGGCCTCTGTTCATTATTACAGTCATTACAAAGCAGAACAGCAGGACTTTACTACGTTACACTCAGTAGGAAGTTAGCTAGCATGAGGAACAATCCACAGCCGACATGTTTCTGGATTTATTTTAGGTTTTAGACAGAGAACACATCGTCCTTCTCCTTTCAGCCTCTCTGGGTAGCTGCTGTAACTATTACAAGTGTCCCAGGAACAGCGTTTGACCAGATCTTAGAATAAAATGGCCAGAAAAAGCTGGAAAACAACTCTTTTAGCATTAGAGTCAACGGAGCGCAGCCATGAAAGTGTTGGACCTCAGTTAGAGCGAGACCGAGGCTGCGTTCGAAAAGTCTTTTTTCTGACTGAGTGAAGTGAACCAGAAGTATTTCAGTGGCAGCAATGATAAGAGCTGGTCGAACTCTCTAAAAGCTGAGGAAAGGAGCCTTAATGCTGCCTTTCATATCTCCTTTAGCTAAGGAAAGGAGAGAATGCAGTCCAACAATTCCTTGCGGCGGCAACAATTAAAGAAGTGGTATTATGCTCATTTTCAGGGTCATAATCTTATTTAGAGTTTGTACCAGAGCAGGTTTACATGGTTATATTTTTTGTCAGACTGCACGTTGCTGCAGCTCCTCTTTCCACCCTGTGTTGAAGGCTTCGTTTTAGCTGTGGAGTGATACATCTTGTCTCTAAATGATCTTTGTTGGGAGTTGCACATGCTCAGTTCCTAGTTAAGGACTACTAGCCAATCAGAAGCAGAGTAGGGCGGGTCAGCGAGAAGCCGGTAAACAGCTCGGGTTCAGCCGTACGTGTTGCCGACCAGCTTGGCAACATGGACTGGAGCGAGAGTTTCAGAGCGGTGAGTTATTAATCTGTATCCATAAAGTTTTAACTGAGCTCTGTCTCTACATCACAGGAACAACTTTATGTCCACTGACTGCCTGGAGGGTAGCTAGTGTTTGGAAGGGAGAGGAGAGCTGTGTGCTGCAGCTCGCTGTTTCTGAGGGCGTGTCCGAGTAGCCGCTTGGCGAGCGTTATATGAGGCGCGTTTAGCTTTCATCCCTGTGACATCACAAGTATGAAAGGGAAGAGGCTGGACTACAAACGAGCTGTTTTCAGTTCAGAGCAGAGTTTTCTGTGGGAGATGGGAAGTCACTTTGGGCTTTTTCACTTTGCAAACCTGTTACATGCACAAAAAAGATATTTAACTCAATAAAAGGAGAGGGAAAAAGCCAAAAACCATAATACCGCACGTTCTCAGTCTCAAACGATAAAATCCATTGACCACATTTAACAAAATCCTTCCAACACAGACCCACATTATGATACTTTAATAAGACTCTCATAATTTCTTTCTTTTGGTTTGTTTTCTTTTGGCTTTTTTGTAATCTAAAACTGTTTCAACGCCGTTTTCTCGCCTTTTACAGGCCTTTTTGCTATCTTGGTTATGAAGTAATATTTTCCACCGTGTTGTCCACCTTTAGACGGCCTGCATTACAACACGGGGCGCTTTTTGTAGTCCATCTTCAGAACGTTGTAGTTTCATCACGGAAGGTCACGTCAGTAACATCCGGCGTCGCATAATTAAGTCGCCTAGAAAAGTCGGAGCCTCTTTTCCTGAGTCCTTATGGATTATCCTTCACATCTTTCCTTGACCTCGTGATGTTTTCCATCAAGGAGAGGAGAGGCGGTTAGGAAAGGAGATGGTTTTGACTTTTGAGATGCAGCCCTATGCTGCGCTGTGATTGGCCAGCTGTGTATTCGGGACGTGGCTAAGCGAAGGGTCAATTCAGAGACAGTACTCTTGTACTGATTTTGTGCTGTTCAAATAAACATCATTATTATTATTGTTATTAATGTGAAGCTTTTAGCTGCAGGAGGATACGTTACCGTCACTGATGCCGTTGGTCTGAGTCTTGTACAGCTCCTCTTCGTCATCGTCTTCCTCCTCTTCCTCCAGCTCCTCCGAGGAGTTCGGAGGTCGCACGTAGCGCCTGCGCACAAACAAACACACACACCTCAGTAATACACACTTTATAGCAAACCAATAGCAAACAAAAGGGTAACTTCACTGTAGTGAGTGTGTGTGTTGTACTCACGCCAGCCTCTGCAGGAACAGGTTGTAGAGCGCCTCCTGGCTGCAGCTGCTGCGCGGCACGCTGAGCAGCAGCGGGTGTCCGAACAGCGTCGTGCCGTACGAGCTGCTGCCCGAACCGTAATCTCTGTAGTGAGAGCGCTCCCTCAGGTAGAGCGCCAGCAGCACCTGCTCCTCCTGCTGCTCCTCCAGCACGCTCAGCTCGTACCTGAACGCAGCGGCAAGTTAGTCTCATCTTGTGACCCCAAAAACCGCCATGTCTGACGAACCAAACAGTTCAAAGACAAACAGCTGATAAAAACAGTCGAGGTTTTCTCACACAAAGATGTCGTCTCGGTCCAGGATGCAGCTCAGAGATTCATCAGCGTTGTAGATCTTATAGAAACGATGGTTGAACACGTCAGCTACCACCATCTGAAACACACACACACACACACACAGTCAACACCTTCCTCCTCTGATCCTCACCGTCAGGTCTCATCAGTCCACAAACTCTGGGCTCAGATAAAAGTTCACAGAGAAATACAAACAATAAGTGTAACAAGTAACAGTCACAAAAGCTTCAAGAGACAAACAGGTGACGACGAGAGCAAAAATGTCAATTAAACATTCAGATTACAACAAAAAAACAACGACAAGACAATGTTTATTTATTTGATGAACTATATGAACTGAACTCACAACACACAAGCTTAGTTTTATTTTTTTTATTGAAAAAAAAAACAATTACACAGAAACACATTTTATTTTATTTTTATTTTTTTTAAACACAAACACACATTCACCGTTTTATTTACTTTATTTTATTTTTATTTATTTTTTTAAACACTTTTTTTAAACACTTGATTTACTTTACTTTATTTTTTATTAACACAAACACACTTTTACTGTTTTATTTACTTTATTTTTATTTTACACAAACACAAATTTAGCGTTTTATTTACTTTATACTGTGTTTGTGTTTAAAAAGAATGTGCCGTTTTATTTACTTTATTTTTTTAATATTTTTTAAACACAAACACACATTTATCGTTTTGTTAACTTTATTTTATGAACTATATGAAATTATTTGTTCCTTTGTAATTTATTTGTAGCTTTGGCAATATTGTTGTTTGACATTCATGCAAATAAAGCTCAATTGAATTAAAAGACAACCAATATTCTGAAGGTAATTTATTTGTAAAGAGCAAAGACACTAAAAGCTTGTTTCTCTGGGAAAGGGCAGAATGCACGTGTGTGTGCGGTGTGAATCAGTGCTTTATAAATGTTCCCACTCTTGTGGGATAGAGATGTGCCACGTCATATGATTCATGACATATCAGCGTAATGTTTAATATGAAAAATGTGAAAGTGAAAGTAAAACTGCTATTGGCTCACCAGCGAAGGAGTTACTCCCAGAAAGGAGAGTGACTTTCTGGGGCGGCTGTAGCTCGACAGCATAGCCACCGGTGTGTGAAAGTGTATGAATGTGTTCATTTCTGTTCCTGATCAGCAGGTGGTACGTTAGCCTCTGCTCATCAGTGTGCGACTGTGATGTAGTGTAAAGTGCTTTGACTGGTCAGAACAACTAGAAAAGGCGCTTTGACCACACCACAGCACTGAGATGGCTCTTATTAAGGTCTTCAACACTGACAGTGGCAGAATTTCAGTTTTAGTATTATTAGATCTCAGTGCTGCATTCGACACGGTCGACCACAACATATTACTAGACAGACTTGAAAACTGGGTTGGACTTTCTGGCACAGTACTAAACTGGTTTGAATCCTACTTAAAGGACAGGGACTACTTTGTGTCTATAGGTAATCACACATCTGAGCTGACAAAAATGACATGTGGAGTTCCCCAAGGTTCCATTCTGGGGCATCTTTTGTTTAACATTTACATGCTTCCACTGGCTCAGATTCTGAAAAACAACAAAATGTGTTTGCATAATTATGCAGATGACACACAGATTTACATAACCATTTCACCAGGGGACTATGATCCCATACAGGCGCTGAGTAACTGTATTGAGCAGGTCAACGATTGGATGTGCCAGAATTTTCTTCAATTAAACAAGGATAAAACTGAAGTTATTGTTTTTGGAGCCAGGGAGGAATGATTGAAAGTCAGAGCTCGACTTCAATCTGTAATGTTAAGAACCACAAATCAAGCCAGAAATCTTGGTGTAGTCATGGACTCAGACCTGAATTTGAGGAGCCACATTAACACAATTACAAAGATTAAAGGACTTATGTCTCAGCAGGACCTGGAAAAGCTTATTCATGCATTTATCTTCAGTCGACTCGACTACTGTAACAGTGTCCTTACAGGGCTCCCTAAGAAATCCATCAGACAGCTGCAGCTGATTCAGAACGCTGCTGCTCGAGTCCTCACTAAGACTTGTTTTTAGCTTTTTATCATTGCTTTTAATTAAATATTTAGGATTTTTCTTTTTACTGATAACTTACACTGCAATGTAACTTTTACTGTCCGGTTTTCTTTTTCTTTGTTTTTTTAGCTTTTTATCATTGCTTTTAATTAAATATTTCCATTTAGCTCTTTTAACCCTGATTGTAACACTATAACTTTTTTATATTTCCCTGTTGCTTTTATGTTTTATGTAAAGCAAAATTTTGCTTTGTTAAATGTGCTATACAAATAAACTTGCCTTGCCTTTACAAGTAAAGAGCATTTACTTCAGGGGTGTGGAAGGGGTTCGTTTACAAGAGATCAGACAAAAACATTAAGTGCAAGAAGACGGTAACAGCAAAAGGAGAGGCAATGCAACAAACTCATTTCACCACCTCAAGCAGAAGCAACGTATCATTAGAAAATCATTATTGCAGAAATACTCTGAAACATCCTGAAGTTGCTTCAGGGCCATATATCGCCCAGCCCTAATGTCTAGTTTACATTTTTAAGTTACAGTGATGGGTATTGTGACACTCATGAATATGCAGTAAAGGTTCAGAGTTTTAGAGAAAAATAACACAAATCCCACCCACTCTTTGTGGGTCACTGATGTCTTTTTAATCAGATTTAGTTCTCATTTCTTCTAAAACATCCAATCTTTTCTACACAATCATAAATTCCTAACACCGATTTTTTTGTCACAGGTTCACACAGGCTGACATGAAAGCACTGGGATTGAACTGATCTCTGAACTACAAACTGACCTTTATTTGAGCCCATAACTAACTACTGTTTAACAGACTTAACACACTGACCTGTGAGGGAGGTACGTTGGTCATCTCAGACAGAGCAGAGCAGAGGTCGGACACTTTTCCTGCTTTAGGAACCACAACACGATGCTGCAGACACAAACACATTTTACATCATCTCCATAATGCTGTCCGATACTCTTCAGAGAGAAAAAGCTTAGGGAACACTGCAGGAATGTCTCCAACTCTGCATCAGGTAGAAAGGGTTACCTGTGCGGGTTTGGCGTAGGGGTCCAGAGAGACGAAGAAGACCTCCATGATTCGCTCCTTGCTGACAGGAAGTGGGACGCTCAGGTAGCAGAAGGGGTCGAACGTCACAGAGATCTTCCGGCACTCCGGACAGACGAGCGTGGACTTGAAGAGGCCGTGAAACGTGTCGACGATCACAGAGTCGTTCCGCCGCCGGTGGTTACGCCACGCCTCCTCTGCCACTTCCTGTGGGAGCGGAAGGAAAAAGGTGTTTGCTACATTTGTTTGGAGCCGCAGAAGAAGCAAACATATGTTTAGTAGCAGCTCACCTGGTCTGGTCGTCCGTCTGCGTCCCGCAGCTCGATGTACTCTTTGTTTTTGACGCGGTTCAGGTCTTCGTGCAGTCCGTCCAGCAGGAAGGACAGAAGCTCCTGACTGTCGTGTTGCTGGTAACCCAGAAACTGAGACGCAAAGTGACCCACCTTCGTCTGCGAGCACACACAGACAGACATTAGGAAATGCAATTAAACACAGGCATGGTAAAGCGTCACATCTTTTTCTTTTGTCAGTTATCCTCACAGTTTTATAGTAACTGAGACTGAAGCTTCTGTCATTAAAAGACAGCAGCGGTGACATCCGGATTCCAGATGGACGTCCACTCTAACCCAGCAGTCACACCAAAAAACTGCCTTTAAAATGGATCTCTCTTCCTATTTCCTGCCCCAAAATATATCTTTAAAAAACAGTAGCTGATCACACAATAAAGCTGCTGTTTATTACGCCAGAGAACACAAAGTGACTGTAGTCTCAATGCAGCAGGACAGGATTACTCATCTGGGAACCAGGTAGCTAAATTAAAAGTCTCCTCTTGTTTCAGTACAGCTAAAGACGGAGGTTTAACCAGCTGAGACTCAGCAGAGTAACCAACGTCTGTCAGAAGAACGCTGTGATACATGATTTAGTTTTTCTTACTGTCGGTGCAGGCAGGTATCTGAAAACACTACTATCAATGTGTTTCTTCAGGTTAAACCTGATTAGTGTGGATGTTGAGGTCTGTCACGCACGTTGAACCAGCTCTTGTGTTCCATGTTAAATCTACTCACTGACGTTTGCATCTTTTCAGGATGCTCCACGGTCCTTCAGAGCCTTAAACCTGCATTCTTTCTAACGGCCAGCAGGGAGAGATTGTAGTAGTCAGATTGTATAGAAGTCTGTGAGAAAATGTTTCTACTTCTCAGCTGATTTATTCCCTCAGTAAACACTTTCCTGATGAGTTTCTGGTCTCAGTCGCTAGTTTCAAGTCTTCTTCAACACAGCATGATGTTCATTTAGTAAATTATGGTCCCATTTAGAGGAACAGAGACCAGGAAGCAGGGGAGGCTTTAGGGCGGGGCTACAAGCTGATTGACAAGTTGCTACCACCCTCTCATCCAAATATGGTCACTTCTGGTTCCATAAAAACACAAGACGCCGACGACCAAAATGCCAAACTCGGGTCTTTGAGCTGGAGAAAACTGTCAGCAGGTTTTTGTTGCATTTAAAGCTGCATTTCACTGAGGAGCAGTCAGTAGCAGCAACATTTCTGTGTTCAGCTCTGTGGTTTGGAGTTTAGTTTCACTCCTGTTCTGAGTTTCCCCTCACAGGCAGCTGCCTCGCTGATCTCTGATCTGCTCCGTCTTCTGTGAAACTAGAGCTGAACGTATCAACCAGAATATTAACACACAGCCAGTCTTTGTGTTGCCGCTGCCCTCCTGCTGGGATCCGCTTCTGTGTTTGTTTATTTATTTTTTTCCCCACACGTGAAACTGAGATGTGTGCGTAATCAGTGACTCATCGGTTCAACGTGACGGTACCTTGAAGACTCGCGGCACCACAGAGTAATGCCTCCCGGACCACATCTGTTTGATGACGTCAGCGTAGGCCTCGGCGATCTCCCCCTTCATACCCAGAGGGTTGGTGAAGTTCAGCTCCTCCAGGTAGGAGCTCTGCAGGAAGTACTCGGTCAGAGGGGGGGTGTTACTCAGACACTGCAGAGGGAAGACGAGGAGACGGGAGGAGTTTAAGGTTAATATAGGTGCTGGGGAGTGAAGATTAGGGCTGCACGTTTTGGAGAAAAAGGTCATATTGCGATTATTGTGGACAAAATTGTGACCGGGATTTAATGGAACAAATGGTACCGTGAGTCTCTTTGCTTGATTATCAAGAAAAATGCATAAAATACTGGCTTTAGAAACGTGTATTTCTCAACACAAACAGACAAAGTTAAACGAATATAAGAAGAAATACCTTTTTTTTTTGGTCACCACTCCAAAAATTCTGATTTTGTCACAGCAGCTTTTTTTTAAACATTCAACTCTGCTGTGATTGGTGCAATGCGGCTTGTCGCATGTGGGACAGATACACACATTTTTATTACTCTAGTTGAATATTAATTCCAGTTACAGCTGTTTCATTTCTGTGGGTTGTTTTCATTCATAAAATCCTTGTGAAAGAAGAACGCTCTCTATTGGTCTCTAATCTAACATGTCAATAATCACAGAGTTTAACATTTAAAGATTTGCCAGAGTACGTCAAACTTTTTTATACCCCGACCCATCCAGGCTGGGATTGGTCGGTTGACGAAAAGAGACACTGACGAGCACACTGGCTTTAAAAAAGTGGAACGTGTTTCAACAAAAGGCACCTGATAAACTGATAGAGTTATACTCTATAAACTATTTTCTTGTCTCACCGCTTCAGCTGCCGACGACGCATCTCTGTCTGTCCGAGCGAAGCTTAAAGTCTTTACTCGCACACGGGCCTAATTTATGAGATTTATGAGCAGTGAGCGGGTGAATCTGTCGCACTGCAGAGCCCTGTGTGGGCGTGGATATCGTGAGCAGACGCTAGTGTCACTCACACTGCACACCTTTTTGTTTAATTGAACGGCACCCTTCTGTGAGTGGACCTGATACCTGATCAACGCTCCTACCATACGGGTTTGGAAGAAACGCGGGCGGCCGAGTTTCCTGCAGCCTGTGTCGAAATCTGAGGAGCAACACTGACACCAGCCAGGTGCTAATTATACACCGAGCAGGTTTCATGACGCCTTGTAACCTCGAAGCCTGTTAAAATCCCGTTAGAGAACTTTAAAAGATGCACGAATGTCAGAGCTGTGTGAAGTTTGGACCTGCCACGTTTCTGTCTACATCACTGATTACACAGTAGTGCAGTGTTTACACTCCAGTGAGTGTCTGAGCTTCAGGGTAATGAGAGGGGAGGGGGGGTCAGACCTGTAGAGCAGAGTTCATGAAGCAGGTGTTGCCCAGGTTGGTGAGGCCGCAGACTCCCGGCTGCCCTCGGTACGAGTCCTGCTCCTCCACAGAGTTCCTCCTGAAAGAGCAGAGCCCGCATCAGCAGCAGGTTCAGATCAGACGGACATCAGACAGTTCAGGTTTACAGTTTGTTCACACGGAAAAGAGGAGGAGGAAGAAGAGGAGCAGCGATGCAGCAAGAAAAAAGATTTTGTAGTTAGTGATTAGGAACAAAACAAAAACTAACTATTCAGCCCTCTGACAGCAGGCTGTGTGTGTTCAGGTCTTTATTCTGGTTGTAACCTGCAGTCTTCAATGACCACATGGCGTTCGGACATGTTACCAAGTTCATTTGAGAGTCTTTTATTACTAGTGAAGGCTGCAAGATCGTCTTTTTAATTTCACATTTAACAAAGAAAGTTGAGCTGGGCACTGTAGCCTGACGCGCACCTGGTTTCTGAGGCTGATCTTCAGGGATTCCTACAGTGTTTTTATAGCAGAGGCGCCGCGCCCTGCCTCAGGAGACACAGAGATTCTCGGGGGAAATTTGTTTCGTTACAGTTGCTCACAAGGCAAAAAAGAAATAATAAGAATATATTTAGAAGAATATAAAAATAGGATAGTGGAGTTATGCACAGTATAACACAGCATGTGACAGAAGTGACGTACAGTTTATTACTAAAGATTAGTTCTGGTTAAAAAAACCTGTAATGGAGACATATTTTCACCTTTCTTCTAACTTTATTTGATTGACTGTTCACATTGCTTTTTAAACGTGGCCCCTATCGGACCTGGTCACGACCTGAAAGTGACCCATGTGCCCAAAACAATAGCAAGTCAGAGGCAGCTGTCGCACGCTGTCGTACAGAGGTCAACATGGAGGCCATGAAGGTTAGGGTCTACGGTTTTATTGTAAGTTGATTCGGTGGGAGAAAGGGAATTTGTGAGCAAATGAAAGCGAGGACGAGGAAAAAGAGGGTCACATTTTTAATAAAGGCTGTTGTGGAGCTTTTTCGTTCACTGCGGCTCCGTCTAGCGCAGAATTGACTAAAACACGGCCGATCTAGAGTGACGTCTTTAAGGCCTCAAATCCCTTTCTCTGATAGACAATAACAAAAGCCACAGATTTATAGACTGTTATAAAAGTATATTTGATAAGATTCCTGAAATTATGGTGGTTATTTTATCCTTTATGTATTGTATAATGAATTTACCCTTTTTGTATCCCGTGGCAGGTTATTTCTTTGTATGTATTCTTTTTATTTATATTTTTTAATAGTATATATTTATTTATTTAGTTTGTTTTTCCCCGTTGTGTTAGCTATCTGATAAGGATAAGTGCAATTTTTTTTTTTTACAAATGTTTTGATTGTGCAGATTTTTCATATGCATATATATCTGTGATATGGGAAATGTCTTGGCTCTCGGACTTTGTTCGGTGTTTCTGTATGTATCCGACTATTTTTGTAATTTATAATAAATAAAGTTAAAATAAAATAAAAAAAACTGCTGTTATGTCTCGAGCGTCAAATCTGATTTAACTTAAAACGCGATGGATAAGAAAACTTCATTTTTTACTTTTTGTCTATTAATACGTTACTGTTTCATTTATTCATTTTACTTTCTTTTTTTTTATTCACACACACACTGTTTCATTTATTTACTTTAAATTTTTGTTTTATATATTTTTTATTAACACACAAACACAACTTTTACTGTTTTATTTACTTATTTAATGAAATGTATGAAATTAATAGTTCTTATGTAATATAGCTCCAAACTACTTGAGTTGCAGACGGCTACGCTCGGTCCTGTAATAAAACCTTTGTGAGTAAAAAGACAACACTTTATCAATACACCTGTGTGTAGATAAACATGTAGAAAGGTTCATTTAAGCTGCTCAGTCATGTTATGAACAAGCAGCTCACGTTAGCTTGGCAATTAGCCAAATGTTACAAACAAGCTAAATAGAAAGCCGTCTGTCTGGAGCTCAGACTGGTCTGTAGTCTTAAAACCAGCCGCACCTCCTCCTACCAGGTAACGTTAGCTGCAGCCAGTGATTAACAGCAGAGAGGAGGAGGAGGAGGAGGAAGGACTGAGACAGACTGAGCTGTGATGTCAGTGAAGCATTAATGTTGCTGCTCTAGAAGCAGCAGTTGTTTTTAAAATATTAAATTCTAATCCTTTAATTAATTTAAAAACAACCAGGCAGCTAATATGCACACTTCAATATCCGTTTATTTATCACAAGTCATATAACCATGTTGTTTTCCTCATTCCGTGCAGACCTACCTCGTGCCCGTTGGGTCTGGTCTTAACAAATAACCGTCACCAACTAATAGTAACGTATCGATAAAGACTCGGATCGTTAAGCAGTCTCAATAAGGGTATCAATATCAATAAAAGTGAACGATACTCATCCCTTTGGCCTGCAGTCTGAACTTAGATGTTCAAGATCATTTCCAGTTAAACATTAAACAACGCTGTGGAGCAGACTGACGTCACCACAAGTGATGAGGGCAGGACTTCTAACAGGAGAGGATCAGATCACAAAGGAGGCGAAGAAGGAAAAAAACTGAGCAAGCAGGAAACAGAAAGAAAAGACAAGAAGGCAGAGAGAGAGAGAGAGAGAGAGAGAGAGAGAGAGAGAGAGAGAGAGAGAGAGGAGGGGGGGGGGGATTTCAGAGAAAACAAAACTGAAAGCAAAGTGAAGACAGTAAAGAAGTGAGTGAGACGTTTCACAAGAGAGGGACAAAGAGAAAGAGGTGACAGAGCGAGAAAGGAAAAGAAAGGACAAAAGGAGAACCGCAGAACAAACAGACAGAACAGAGACAGATACAAGACGACCAAAGCGAGAGAGGCGGAGGTGTGTTCTTACATGATCTGAGGTCTGGAGCTCGGCCAGGTGCCGTCGGCATTCCTCGTCTCCATAATCACCGTCTGAGACACACACACACACACACACACACACACACACACCAGCTTATCTCTCAGGTTGTTCTGTGAGGACGTTAGCGGCTGTAAAGAGACGTGAACTAGCTGACTGAACCCAGGGATGTCACGAGAACAGATACTTCGGTACCAAGTCGATCCCATAATCCTGACAACATGTCGGTACTCGTTTCGCTAGGTACTGAAAGAGATCCAACACGTGGAAGACAGCGACAAGTGCAGCTACAGCGACAGCTCCGCCTCGACAAGTCGAATAGAAAAGAGGATGGGAACCGGGGTGAAGTTAGTTCCAAGCACCTTCAACAGCTCTGCATCAAAGCCTCGATTTCTCCCAGTCGGAGAGCTAATTAAGACGTTTGTTAGAGGTTCTTTGTCAAGTCGGTCTCTAAAAGATGTTTCCAGATCTGCTAAAGGTTTGAAACAGAAATTAGAGGTCACTAAAGCTCTCACAGCTTTTATAAATTATTATTTGTCTGATTGGCTGTGACGTCCAATCAGAACCAGTTTTGACAAAACGTCACCGACAAGAATAGGATGCTTTTCTCAGTCAGAGGAAGGTTAAACCTGACGATCAGGATTTTATCATCTAAAAAGGTTTGTTTTTGTTGTTGTTTTGTTGTTGTCGAAGATGAGAATTATTAATTATTAACTAGAATCGTGACTGTAATGGGAAAGGAGAGCTAATTAAGGCGTTTCACAGTTCGATCACCTGAAAATCACCAAAGATGACGATGCAGTTTGCAGCGCTAAGAACTGTTACTGTAGCTGGAGTTAGGGACCGTCTGAAAAGTGCAATACAATTTTTCAATGTTAAAACCTCTGACAACTGCCAATATAAACATGTCACACCTGTGGGATTGTTGAGTTACGAATTAATTAATTTAATAATTAATTATGCACAGTGCAATGTTATAATTTCAACAGCTTGCTCATTTATGAATATGTTGACATCAAACCATCTGTCCTAGACATCCTCTCACAGCTTTCACAGCTGTTAGTTGTTCTCTGTAATGTTCAAATCTTTTTCTTAAAGGAGCGTATGTGGTTTTGAATTGGTATCTAGAATTTTACGGGCATCAGTTATGCTACTAAACAATTTCAGGTGCGCTGACGCCCCTAACTGAATCTACAGAGCCCGGTGTGTCAGTGGTGATGAGCGTTTGTCCTCACCATCCCTGAGCTCAAACAGGCGTCCAACACGCTCACGTGGATGTTCCTGAGACGCTCGCAGCTGCTGTCCGAACTCTTCATCCACAGACGACACTCTGAGCCCGGAGGCACCGAGAAGGCGTCGCACATCGCCCTCTGGATCGACTCTGCACACACAAACACACACAACATGACGTATAAAGGAGACTCAGGTCTGCAGGCGCTCCGGTCTTTTTTCTTTTTAATTCTCCTTTTTGTTTTGATTTACCAAAGCGATACACTAACGATGGAGGTGGTAATGGCTCAGTGGAGAAACCCGGGTTCAATTCCCCAATGTGTCCCTGAGCAAGACACTTTACCCCCAAGTTGCTCCAGAGGCGTGCGTCACTTTGGATAAAAGTGTCGGCGAAATGAATAAATGTAAAAGGTAAATGTCGCCACTGAAAGAAAATGTACAATACTTGACAGTAAACAGCGGGAACAAAAGGATAACACAGAGTCTAGGACCCGCCCCCTTCTGCTCCCGGCCCATGGAACCTTATTTCGGAAAAATATGTACAATAGGTCAACGGCGAGAGACAACTTTCTTTCCCCCCGTTTGAACTGTGCCCTGAATTACACGCACGATGTTTGTCAGATCATTTTATAAGCCAGGAAAGTCGCAGTTTGTTGTAAAACAGTTAAGAAGTTACATTTAGTTTTAGGTGAAACCGCCCAATGAACGACATCTCTCGTCTCACACAATATACGTCACCAACATGTTAACGCTGTAATGCTAAGCTAACGATCTTGGCTTGCTACTAGCTAGACAGCTTAGCTACGTTCCACGCAGAGACGTATCTCACCTACGGTGTTTAACCCAACGACTCCTGGTCCTTTCTCTAGATGTTCGCTTCAGTCATTAAGGAAAAAAATGATGGCGCAGCTTTTGGGTTTGTGGTCTTTGTCATTACAGATGTTCACAGCGACTTTAATGTCTTGCAATTCTTGTTCCCTTTTGGAGCCAGGGAGGAACGATTGAAAGTCAGTGCTCAGCTTCAATCAGTAATGTTAAGAACCACAAACCAAGCCAGAAATCTTGGTGTGGTCATGGACTCAGACCTGAATTTGAGGAGCGACATTAAGACAATTACAAAGTCAGCCTACTATCACCTGAAGAATATATCAAGGATTAAAGGACTTATGTCTCAGCAGGACCTGGCAAAGCTTATTCATGCATTTATCTTCAGTCGACTCGACTACTGTAACAGTGTCCTTACAGGCTCCCTAAGAAATCCATCAGACAGCTGCAGCTGATTCAGAACGCTGCTGCTCGAGTCCTCACTAAGACCAAAAAGGTGGATCACATCACTCCAGTTCTGAGGTCTTTACACTGGCTTCCTGTATGTCAAAGAAGTGATTTCAAAATCCTGCTGTTAGTTTATAAAGCACAACTGCAGGTCTGCTGAAACTGTCAGTTCTTTTAAATTAAGACTCAAGATTTTTCTTTTTACCATAGATTTTAAATTAAATATTTAAGATTTTTCTTTTTATTGATAACTTACACTGCACTGTAACTTTTACTGTCCTGTTTTCTTTGTCTTTGTTTTTAGCTTTTTTCCATTGCTTTTAATTAAATATTTACACGGTGAGAAACGAGTAGGTAACTGAGTGAAGAGATAATGAGAGTGAGATTGAACAGAGTGAAGGAAGTGGTCTTAAATCTCACGCCTGAGTGATTTGCAGGAACCTCTGTCCACCTGTAAACGTGCAGGTGGGTCCAGAGTATAACTGGATCAAAGCGGCCTGCAGACAGACGTGTCCTGGTTTCTCTGTAGTGTCCGAGGGTTTTTGGAGTTTCAGTGGACCCAAAGATTGCTGTGGACCTGAGTACAGACTAGCTAGAGAGAGTAGATTAAATGTACTTCTGTTTATTCTCTTTTCAAAATCGTTGTAACTCAATTATTTGCTCAACCCCTCAGCCTGTTTTTATTTTCCATTTAACCCTTTTAACCCTGATTGTACACTGCACTGTTTCCCTATGTTCCTTTTAAACTTTTTTATATTTCCCTGTTGCTTTTATGTTTTATGTAAAGCACTTTGAATTAGCTTGTTGTTGAAATGTGCTGTACAAATAAACTTGCCTTGCCTTGTAATTCATAACACAATTCAAACAGGATCAAAACATTAGTTGTCTCTCGTCGTCGTCTACCGTACGTATTTTACTGAAATTAGGTCCCATGGTGGTCCACAGGAAGGGGAGGGGCTTAGGCTCTCTATTAGGGTTGGGCCAATAGATGATCCATCGGCGCTGACAGATGTTGAGCCGGCACCCTGTCTGTTTTTTTCCCCTCATCCTCTGAGCCTGAAAACTTACAGACACCAAACTTTCCAGTTTTATTCCTGACTCTATTCTGAAGGTTTTTACAGAGGGGGTTTTGTTCATACATCATTCACAGCCTGAATTATAGAACATTTTATTTCCAAAAACAGCTCGAAATTTATGTTTTTTTATGCTTGTTGACTTCTTGTATTTTCTGATTTATGAAATAAAAAAAAAAAAAGATATCCAAAATTCCCTCTGTAAAAACATTTGGGTATAATGTGTCAACAAAATAAAGCATTCATTTTGAATCTGACTTAATTCAGTGTTCAGATTTTTGTTCTTGAAATAGATGCACATTAGCTCATATTTCATTAGATACCACCTCATTTGCATATTTAAACATTTCAGAAAACCTGTAATACAAAAAAAAATGTCTCAACTGAGTAATCAACTAGAAAAGTTTCATGATGATATCTATCAGGAAATTTATTCACCCTTTTCAGACACACACAGAGAACTCACGTATGCTGTCGGTGCGGCTAAACTGTGCGGTGATGACGTTCTCCATGTTGCAATGAAGACAGAGGAAGATCTCAACGGGGTAAACCTCCACCTTCAGCGTGCTGGGCAGGTCCACCACCTGACACACACACACAGATAAACCACCACTGTTTTGGACAAAACCACAACACCAGCAGGTGATTGGCTGGCATGTCTGGCGTGTATCCGGCGTGCGATGTTACCTTGCGCTCTAGCGGCGGCTGGCCCTCCACCATGCCGTACCAGGCCAGCAGCTTGTGCCAGGCCTCAGCCGGCACCAACATGAAGTCCTCGTTCTCCACCAGACGCTCCTTCAGGTGGTACGAGTCCAGATCTGAAACCAGGAGCGGCGTCGCTCGTTAACGGACGTTTAGCAAAAGACAGAATGACCTTTTAAACCCGAAGCTGCAGAAATCGAATTCTTTGTCAAGTCAGTCTCTAAAAGATGTTTCCAGATCTGCTAAAGGTTTGAAACAGAAATTAGAAGTCACTAAATCTCTCCACTGAAACACTAACAGCTTTTATAAATTATTAAATTATTATTTGTCTGATTGGCTGTGATGTCCAATCAGAACCAGTTTTGACAAAACGTCCCCGACAAGAATAGGATGCTTTTCTCAGTCAGAGGAAGGTTAAACCTGACGATCGCTTTCTTTAAAGCAAACATCAGGATTTTATCATCTAAAAAGGTTTGTTTTAGTTGTTTGACGCTGCTGTCGAAGATCAGAATTATTAATTATTAACTAGAATCATGACTGTAATGGGAAAGAGCTGAGAAACAGAGAAGAAGAAGAAGGAGACAGAAAGAAGGATAGAGGAAGAAAAAGAACGACTTTCTTTGAGCAGTAGGCGGGGCTCGAGACTCACGGCGTCCTGTCGTCCTGGGGACAATAGAAAATACAGAAATATTCTGTAGGACGCCTCTAGGACAAAAGGGATTGTGTGGGCCTTTGTGTTTATTTACTACAATGAAACTCGCTGATGAAAACTCGGCAGACGGCGTGATCGGAAAGAAACCCGCGCACGCAGAGACGCTACCAGCAGACTCGCTGGTTGAGTTTTGCATTATAAACATCTAAAACCTGAAGCACGATCTGGCTCTGTCTGGGACGGTGAGCTGCAGAAGTTAACATTGTTGGTTTCAGTTTCTACCAGCACAGTCTGAAGGGGAGCACAGCAGAGTATCCGTCAGGTAGACTTCTTAAAAATATCATGAATTCTCATTAAATAATGATGTTAGTCTCATAATATTACGATTTTCTTCTGGACATGTCAGAGAACACATATGTGAGATTCTGAATGTGCAGTTTTGTACATGAGCAGAAAAGCTGCTGAAACAAAGTCCAGGAGTTTTAACTGAATAGAAATGAAATAATTTATCATCGAGGTAAAAAGGTGTCCCAACAGATAACTTTTCAGTTTTTTTTATTAATCTTTTTGTTTGAATTAAGCAAAATAATTATTATTTATTTTATCAATTTATAATAATTTATTATGTCACTAACAACTATAGAGGATAATAAAGTAAAGAAACAACATTTTGATTTTAGGACGGTTTACATTAACTTCAGGACAGTTCAAATTGTTTTTCAGGACAGTTCAAATTGTTTTTCATGACGGAGGTCAAAAAAGTTAGTCTGGAGCCCTGCAGGAAGGATATCAGGGATCCGGAAGAGGAGGAGAAGGAAGGAAAAGAAGAAAAAAGAGAAGAAGTCTTTCTTTGAGCAGAAGGTCATGAGGGACCCGGAGGAAGAGAAGAGGAGGAGAAAGGAAAAGAAGAGGAAGAACGAGAAGAAGGAAAAGAAGAGTGACAGAAGAAGAAAAAGAAGGAGTAGTCTTTCTTTGAGCAGCAGATATCAGAGGCGGCGCCATGAGGCATTCACTGACCCTCGAACAGCTCAGTGTTGTCAATCTGACCGGGGAAGGACGACGAGTTCTGGTCTCCGTTCTCCACAAACTCCTTCCACTGTTCATACCAACGGCGCTCCACCACGTACCTGCAACACACACACACAGTTAGCACACTCATAACTCACACTGTTAACTTTATGATCTTTTCTATGCGATTCGTTTCCTGTGAATTTAACATCTTAATAAAACAAGAAATTCTCCGTGCACAGTCAGGTGCATGAAAACTCAAAACCAAGCTACCACACAATGATATGACTTTACTGCAATAATTGGGAGCAATGCGTTTCGCCCATTGCTTCTTCAGGCTCACAAAGTTTAACATTTTAATCTTGGACTTTTTTTTCACAGGTTATTTCCCCTTTACCCCAGCTCTTTATTTAACCAAAATAAAAACTCATTAAGATTAAAAATCTCTTTTCCAATGGCGTCCTGGCCAAGACAGGCAGCAGCACAACTAACAAGGTTGCAGACATTAAAACATATAACAATTTACAATGGGAATAAGTCACCCGTGTAGTCAATCATTACATCTACAGCTAGAAGTTCCAGCCTTCGTGTCATTTAAAAGTACTTTGAAAGCAACCAGTGAAACCGGCTGCTGAAGATTCAGGACATTTTGCAGCCGATTCCGAGCGCAGGGAACTGAAACGCCCTTTTTCCCCAATTCAGTCCGGACATGAGTGACAGATAACAGTAAGAAGTCCTCAGAACTACGACAATATCTGCCTGTGCCTTTCTTTTGGATGTAGATTTGTAGATATGTGGGAAGCAGAACCAAGAATATTCTTGTAAATAAGAATTTGCCAGTGATTAACAATGCAGACCGACCAACCCGAGCATACAAGGAGCAGTAATGAGTGAGGGCTCTAAAGTTTGTGATGAACCTCAGACCTCGATGGTAAACAGTATCCAACAAGTCTCCTTTTGGCCTCAAAGAAAAAACACGACTTGTTCCTAAAATGAAAACCCAGCTTTTTTTTTTTTTGCCAATTGCTGAATGTGAGGTTTAAAAGAGAGAGAATCATCAATCAGGATACCAAGATACTTGTATTGAGATACAGACTCAGTCTCGGAGCCCTGAGAAGTAGTGATAGATGGAAGGTTCACTGACTTTGCACTGGAAAACAACATAAGTTTTGTTTTGTCGTCATTCAAAAAAAGCCCCCCCTCCAGTGTATTTTGTTCATTTTCTTCTCATCATATTTCTATGATATTTCGTACATCAAACAAGGTACGTTTCAAAAACAAGTTGTAGCTGACAAAGAGCCTGGTTTAGTGTCGATGCAGAGCAGTAAATCACAGTATCATCGGCATAGAAATGGAAATTTGCATGGAGACATTTGAGTGTTGATATATAATATAAACAGGAGTGGTCCCAGCACTGACCCCTGGGGGCACACCCTTGGAATATCTTGACGAATATCTGAAAAATATCTAAGGTTTAACTAACGATCTTTTCATCGTCGTTTCATCATTTTCACGATTTATCAATTAGTTGTTTGAGCCATAAAATGGTGAAAATGTTGATCAGTGTTTCTCAAAGCCCGAGAAGACGTCCTCAAAAGTTCTGTTTTGTCCACAAAAGGTAAAAGATATTAGTTTACTGTCCCAGAGGAGAAAGAAACGAGGAAATATTCACATTTAAAGACGTTGGAATCAGAGAATTTGGAGTCAAACTGATTAATTAAGCGTTTGTCAAAAGAGTTGGCAATTCACATAATAGTCAAAAACTAATAAAATGTCATTGTCAATTTATAGTAAAGTTAGGGCTGGGCAATTAAACAATAATGATAATTGAAAATCAACACTAAATTTATTGAGGAAAAGGGACAGAAAAATGAGTTTACTCTATTTATTATAAACAGATTTTATCATAATAGTTTTTAATGTTCTGGCTTAGATTTGTGAAGGGATCCACTGTTTGGCATCAACGGTTTGTTCTGACAATGAAGAATAGTTTAAAACCACAATTAACCATCAGGTTTCTTCAACTTTCACTCAGGAGCAAAAATTAGCATTTAAACTTGAAAGAAATAATGATTTGACATTTAGCGTTTTAATTATCGATATCAAATGATATGAATTATTTATCGTGATAACCTTTTTTTCCCCACATTCATCAAGCAAACAACTCAAACCTTCTCTGTTTCCAGCTTCTCAAATGTGAGGACTCGATGCTTTCCTATATCTATATGATTTTTAAATGAAACATCTTTGGACAATTTTCTAACCATTTACTTTCACATTTTATAAAACAAAACCACAAAACGAAAAAAAAAAATCATCAGACACTCAGGGCTGAAAATACCTGCAGTGACTTGGAGAGAGCCGGCGACAGATGTGGAACTAAAACTAAACTCAGCTCAAACCACAACACAAGACAGACGGGAAGCTTCGACCACAGCAGCTCATAAATCTGAAAACTCAGCAGCTTTTATCAGAGGGGTTTTATTTATGAAACACAATGGGACCATGAAATGTCAGTTTATCAACCCTCATAAGGGTTTTTGTGAATCAATGAAACTTTGTCATGAATGTAATTTGTAAGACAATTTGAGGCATTTACAATTTCTCAGTTCACTCAGGGCTGCAGCTAATAACTGTCTTTTATTCTGTTTATTATTTTCTTGATTGATTAATCGCTAGTTAATAAAATCAGAAGCAGAGTCAGTACACGATGAATTTGACACTGTTTTTTGTTTTTTTTTGCTCATAATGATCCAAGAACACTTTTTTTCCCAGGAAGATAAAAGACATCCGGCTGAAAACAAGGACAACGAAGCTGAACAAAGAGAGGTAAACATGGACATTTATCTATAATGAACACACAAGTAGGTGAAAAGTGTCAGAAAATAACATTTTCCTTGTGTTTACCATAAAATAAAATACAGAAAAGATGCTAATCCTAACATTCAAGAAGTGGGAAAAGGAGACAATAAATATTTTTGCTTTTAAAATGACAAACGATAAATTAATTACCAAAATAGCTGCAGATCAATTTTATAATGATGCAGGGTTTTTCAAGCCATTTTATCAAAGAACTGTTGAGCGAGCAGAAAATAAACTTTATATGCACGGTTTTTATTACTGACATGTTAGTAATTTGCATAAACAAATGAGAGACTGACCACCATGTAGAGCATTTTTATAAATACAATAATCTAATGACTGAAAACAACCCACACAAAATGTGCAACTGGAATTACTATTATTATAGGCTACTAACGGTTTTGCTTTTCCTTCCATGACAGTCAAATATCTACACTTGGTTCCTTGAAGGCATCGTCCCCAGTCAGTCAGTTCTGGGTCTCATTTTTCTTTTATCACAACTTCGACAGACAACCTCTTTGCTTCCCACTATCTTATTAAAAATTAAAACCTAACAGCTTTTTGTGCAACTAACCATCTTCCTATCTTTCTATCCTGGTTTCTCTCTGTGTCTGGTTTCCTGTAAGTGCATATGCAGATCAGGAAATTTGTCTAACAGCAAAACTGTAAAACAAGCCACGCCCTCCTGCCTTGTGCCATCACACTGTACATCTGGAAAGTTAAGTTTACTGACCTTGCTTACTTTGATTTATAGAAGTGTTGACAGTGAATAGAAAATAACTCCATTGAAGGCAAAACACTGCTTTGTGCCGGCGACAGAAGAAAGTGGAAACACTGCAAACAGGACGCTGCTTCAGCTGAGAGTCGGTGAGAGCTGTACGGTTGACTGTGCAGCAGCTTATTATTCAAGATGACTGCGGCTGACTTACGCCGACTTGATAGTCAAACGTGAACATGTGGTCGTGTTGCTGCTATGTTTAGTATGCCTAAATACAGCGTAATGCGTTTTATCAACCGCCTAAGGGTTAGCCCCTAACCCCAAGTAAACAAAGTTTTAAGTTAAACCCTGATCTTATCCTAAACCTAGGCTTACCAACCTGCGACGTTAGCTGTGTATTTAATGGCACATGACTTAAATTAAGCGTTAGGTATCGTGAACCATGGATTTGTTAAGACCTGTGCATTTGGATTCCTAACTTCCTAACTGGAAGAGGAGCGAGGAGGAAGAAGAGGAAGGAGATCTGTGCTGAAGGAACCAGAACTGAGGTTCTACACGAAGACAAAAAGTTGATAAATTTGGAACGATACCCAGGCCTACTAACCCGATGCTTTCCAACGGGCTTTAACGTTGTTTTGGGAAAATTGACAACCAACCTATTTTGCCGTTTAGGTATGTGGATGTGTTGTCAGGTTTTAAGTCTTCATCCACTTCATGAGATCATCTCCTTCTGCTTTCACAAACTTTGAGTTGATTTTAGTGTTTGAGGTTCTTTTTACATCATCGTTACATTTTTACAGCAAGTGTCATTGGAGAGTTCACGAAGCCTCAGCTTGTGTCTCTCACATAATCATTGTTTTGACATTTGAGACTTTTCCGTGACAGATGCACTCAAATCAGAGGGCTTTATTTACGGAGCCGTAAAATAACCACGTCTGTCGCTCGCTGCTTTATTGAAGAAACAAGTGCAACAACTTGTCATGAGTGGAGCATTTTTGTTTCCAAGTGTATAATGATTATTCTTTGATGAATGTGCAAATGTCTTGAACACAGAAGTGTGTTGTTGAACGATATTACAGTCAGACCGATATATCGTCCGATATTAACTTATTAGCGCTCAAACATCGACATCATCGAAATCCAGTATCAGCCGGGCTTTTGGAGGCATGCTGGGGTTTTTTCTCCGACTTCTTCCTTGTAGAAATGAAACCACTGATTAATCAATTTATTGACTGAAGAAGCGACACTTTTAGAAGTTGGTAAATTGTTTAATTTCTTTGGATTTTAGGCTCTCAGTCGTACAAACCACCAAATTTCCCACTATTGTCTGACAGTGAATAGACTAAAGATTTGTCAATAACCAAAATAATGAACGGATCGATAGGAAATATTCATCAATTGCAGTCCTACTCCACTGCAATCATTACTGTGCACACCTCAGATGGTAAACGGTGATTATGTGAGAAGAATAAGGACAGCTTCGGTAAACAACATAAAAACAAAGTGGAAGCTTACGAGGCGACCCTGAACACATCATTACAGCTGGTTGACAGGCTAGCTGTTAGCCGTTAGCAGCGTCGGCTAACGTTCAACTCAGCGTCTGCCTGGTTAGCATGAGCTAACACAGCAACAGCGGCTAACGTCCGACACCGAACCGTTAAAGCTGTCCCGGCAGACGGCTTGACCCCGCCGGTAAACCCGTTAGTGGCCGTTAGGTAACGTTAGCCGTGTGATGCTAACAGCTAGCCGGGCGGACTCTTACCAAGTGTCCCCAGCGCGGAGCTCACACTCCCGCAGCAGAGACTCGATCTCCCGCCGTTGGGTCTCCAGGCCCGGAGGCTCCGCGGCGGAGCAGCGGCTGTTGGCCGTCATGGTGCTAATCAATCAGTCATAAATGTCGGAACAGTTGGAAATATTAAACAGAGCAAAAGACACGAAAGGCAGAAGAAAACCGCCGCATTGATCAGCCCGATAAACAGGGAAGCTGCACAGAGCCGTGTTTGCGGAAGTAGGAAGTGGTTCAGACTGGGGCGATGACGACTTCCGGAAGCCGCCAAACAATTATTAAAATAAGTATTGATTTACAAGCTAAGCGCTGGTGTAAATAAAAAACAATTTAAAGAAAGATTACAGTGAGAATCCAGATTATTTTTGTGAAGCACTGTCAACATATTAATGTGCAGCATTTTCAAATTAAAAGGACTCAGCATTCAACACAACCTCCCCGATGAAACTGCTCAGCAAACTTTAATTACAGCTCTGCAACTGGATATTAATTGCACTTCCTCACAAAAACACCCCAATCAGTTCGGTTTGGCGGACGCACCTCCTCCACTCAACACCGGAGCCCCCCAGGGCTGTGTGCTCAGCCCCCTCCTGTTCACGCTGTGCACCCACGATTGCATCCGCTCGACATGGAGAGAACTCTGTTGTGAAGTTTGCAGACGACACTACCGTCATCGACCGGATTTCAAACAACAATGAGACTTCATATCGGGAGGAAATTCATAATCTTGCAGAGAACAACCTACTGCTCAACGTCAGCAACACCAAGGAGCTGATCGTTGATTTCAGGAAGAAGGAGATAAAGACACACACTCCTGTCTACATCGGTGGAGCTGAGGTGGAGCAGGTGAACAGTTTTAGGTTTCTGGGAATCAGCATCACAGAGAAGCTGACATCTCACATCTCCACGCTGGTGAAGAAAGCTCAGAAGCGACTGGATTTCTTGAGGAAGCTTAAGAAGGCTAAATTCCTGTGCTAGGTTCTTCACAGAGGAGCAACAGAAAGCATCCTGACTGGGAACATCACTAAGATGGGATGTGCACGGCCCAGGACCGAAGGGCTCTGCAGCGGGTCATTAAAACTGCTCAGAAGATCATCGGTGAGGTGAGGAGCCTGCAGAGCCCAGAGGATCCTAAAGGACAGCACCCACCCTGCCACTGCCTGTTCACCCTGCTGCCTTCTGGGAAAGATATATAAGTTTCTGCTGCCGCACCGCCAGACTGCAGAGCAGCTTTTTCTCCCAAGCTATCAGACTCAAATTCATCCTCAGAACTGCTCCACTGATTATAGTTTATTTCTGTTTACCATTTCTATTATTGCTTTCAATTTACTGTATATACTGTCTGCTACGTGGCAGAACAAAGTTACCGACCTCATTTTGCTTTACAACCTGTTGTTATGTGACAAATAAACCTACTATCTACCTTTATATCTTTTCAAAAGGCATGTGCATGCACACACTGAAATAGCTGCACCTCAGTTCCAAGACATGTGAGGAGGAAAATAGGACAAACTATATGAAAAGTGTTAGTAGTAGTGATTAACAGGCAGAAAATTATCAACCAACTCCAAAGTTCCTCTCACGTCTACAGAGAATTTTCAGCTCAGGTTCAGTCGCAGTGTTTCTAGCAGCAGCTGCTGTTTTCATCAACAGCCTCTAATAAACCTGCACAAACAGCTGGCAGACACAGTGAGAGACCATCGCTGGTGATGAAAGTGGAACATCTAGCAGCTAAAGAGCCAGATATGTGGACAAACAACATAACTGTGTTGCTTTGTGTCTGCTGGATGTGGAACTTACATTACGACACCGCATCACAATGAAACTTTACAAGCTGAAAAGTAAACAGAAATACGAAGCTTTTTTTGATTTAATTTATGTTATTTTACTTTTTAATATGCAAATAAGGGAGTTCCTCATTAGATATGCGCTCTCGCAAATCCCACAAATCCATTTTGCAGCACATTGAAGAGTCAGATTGATGTTGTTGGTTATTGTGATAAATATTTACAGAACGGTTTATCAAAATATTGTTTTTCATGGATTGACTAACCACTCATATGTGTATAACCCCCCACATATTTACTGATAAATTGCCACATAAAATTAAGATTTATTTAAAATAAAACTTCTGCACACGTCTGGCTGTGCGTCCTAAGAAACAGTGAAGTTATGATGATCTAACAGCCTTGAAGGGCGAGCAAAATGACTTGGCGTACAGGAAACATGTCGTTTTGAGAAAACAGCTGTTAAAGATAAGGTGATGAAAAAACAACACACTGTTTGTCACAAGAACATATATACACCAATACATCTTATTTACAAATTTTAAGCTATCAAACATGTAAAATGCAACAAAGATGATTTTAGTCAAATCACCAAGCCACTTTAATTAATTTCAGATGAGTCTGTTAGTTCATTTCTTCCAAGATATACAAGTTTTAAATTAACAAAAGAGACTATGTGCATTAAAAAGTGGAGAAACATGATGCAGAAGCCTCAGTGCACCAAGGCTCACTAAAAGTTTCGTGGAGGATGAAAATGATGTGAATAAAACGCTACGTTCTTTACAGTCATCAGATCTCAACCCAGTTCACATTAATTAATGATTTGTTTTTTGTTTTGTTTCACTGCTATTTTGGGTAGAGCAAGGGGAAAGAAACTGTTAAGTATTAAGCGCAGCGACAATAAACTTGAGCTTCAGACTTCACCTTTATTTTTCAGTTAGAGAATAAAGTGTAAAGTGTTTTAATAATGCCAGTGAGCTCACTATATAGTGCTCTACATTCACTACTCTCCTAATGTAGGTAGTGGGGATTTCGGACACTGCCATTGTTTTTTTGACATAACAATTTAGTATTATTTAACCACCTTCATAACTATAAGATCAATTTATTGCTACTGTGTATAATTGACCGGAAAAACTAAAATATACATGTATTGTGTAAACAATCCTGTACTTGAGTAAAAGTATGATCCCCTTGCTAAATATTACAAACAATGGTATTCATTATAAACACGTTGTCCTTTCAATAATTTTTAAGTTACTCAGTTATATGTGTGTGTGTCAGTGGTGGATGAAACATTCAGATCCTTTAATTAAGTAAAAGTACTAATACCACACTGTAAAAGTCCTGCATTGAAAATGTTAAAAATGTAAGTATATGCAGGAAAATGTATTTAAAATGTATATTGAAGCAGGTTTTTTTGTGCTGGAGCTCACGTTTAAATATTTTGTATCTTGAGTGCAAATAAAGATTATTTTCATTGTGGATTAAACTACAGTTTATTTTCTCTATTAATCGATTTTTGAAATTCTGAAAATAGTGAGAAATGCCGTCTTTTAACCGGAGCCTAAACTGTTAAAGTCGATCTAATAATCCTGTCAGCTGTACTTGTATAAAATGTTGGGGAGTTTAATTTATAACAAAGCATATTTTATTAAGTCTTAAAGTCTTAAAAGGCTTAAAGTAAAAGTGAAAAGAAAATACTCAAGTAAAGTACAATTACATAAGTACAGTACTTGAGTAAATGTAATTAGTTACTTTCCACCAGTAGCCTGTAGAGAAAACGACCAAGGGCGTCACTTTGTGTTGACAAGTGGTGGGACATGAGGGCTCAGATTAGGGCCGTGATGATACACTTTGATCACAAGACGTGATGATTCACGAGAACAAGACAAGAAGATTTTTAAACTATTTTGAAGAAATATAAAATACTGAATATATGAGCAGGAGGTCCCCCAGAAAATTGGACCATTATACACTTAATTTCCTGCTTTCTGTAGACATTTTCTGCACCAATTCATGGTGGAAATGTCTTTATTTATATAAAGGGAAACAAAAAGATTTAGCTGGCAGGGGACAATTCATAAATATAACAATATGACAGAATATAAGCTTGTTTTTTTTAGCTTAAGTTACTCATTTTGGACAATGCACATTTGTTTCTTCTAATTGCATTGCATGTTTTCTTAATGTGACCAGACGTCCCTGCAAAACCAGGGACAGTCCCTGGTTTTGGTGGCTTGTCCCCGTCTGGAGCTGTCCCCGGAAATGTCTTCATCAAACAGACATAACGTGCAAATAAACATCACTTTATGTCCGCGGTAATAGCAAAAGTATGTCTTTGTGACACTTTAACGTTTCTTTTAACATAATAATCATAATTGTGGCCAAATTAAAATGAGTGTGCAGTTTATAGCGTAACCAGGCCTGACATTTATACGTGATTATAGACAATAATAGAAGCCTGCTGTTGATGATGGATTATGTGTTTGGCAGGCCTATGTCTAATATCACAGACTGTAGCCTATAATTAACAAGACTTACTGCTGAGTTATATATAAAATAAAGACATGTTCTCTTTTGCAATTATCCTTCTGACTGCAGTATGTAACTTGCTGTTCCTTTAAATGGCCAATACATGTAACGTAACTCATGTAATGCAATATTCCACTTGCCAGAAAGTGATTGAAGCCTCTGCTTATTGACTGAAACATAGTGACTTGAGTTATATTTGACAGATTATAAAACCAAACTTGTCCCCCTTTTTTTATTTCATACATAATAACATTAATATATATATTTTTAAGACCACCAAACCAAAAATGTCCCATTTTTATTTCAGATTATCTTAACGTGCAAATAAACGTTTCTCAAAGCATTTTCACTTGTTAGTCAACATTTCTTGCTGCAAGCTATTTTTCAGAATACTTTTAACAAATGCTTTCAAAAAGTGATGAGGACAACGACAAATAATATTAATAACCGAGTAAACAAAAATAAATGAATAAATATTCCTAAAAGTTTGTAATGTAACATATAAACTAACTGTGTGTAGGATAAACACTTTGTTTATAACATAAATACTTAATAAACACTTACTGTTTGTTTTGTTTGTTTGTTTTGTTTGTTTTGTTTGTTTTGTTTGTTTTGTTTGTTTTGTTTGTTTTGTTTTGTTTGTGACATCTTCGCTTCCAACATTCCTAGACGCAAATATCGCGATATCTTTAGCGCGCAGCCCTCGGCCAATCAGTGCCCCCGATGCCGCCGCGCTCGGCCAATGAGGCGTCAGTTTACTATCG